GGTGGCAACCTTGAAACCGTATTGTAATTTTTCATTTATTTTATCAATTTAATTAACCGAAATTTTGCAAACAAGTGGCAACCTGATTTAAATGATCGTGATCCAAAAAAAGCCTTGAACAAACGAACATAATTTAATTTCGAAAAAGGGCATGGCATATTCGAATTATACTTTCGATTCTAAGGCAAAATGGTGAACAAGCTATACACTAAAAATGAAGTTTGATCCACCCAATTTTTAAAAGAAAAATTTGTGTATTAAAATTTTTTCTGAACGAAACTAATTTGCATTTACACTATTTTGTGCTTTCTTCATTCAATATACTTTTTCTTTTGAAAATTGGGAGGGTCAAATGTCATTTTTGGTTTATAGATTGATTGCCATTGTTGTTTAGAATTAATCGTGGAATTTGAAGTTGCTATACATTTTCTTCGAAAATTTTGCTCCGAACAAATTACTCCTCCCTAATGTACATAAAAGTATATAGATTAGCGGGAAAAAAATTAAATTAAAAATTGTTTTATATATTGTGAAAAATTTTCTGTGCCAACACTTTTTTCTGGCAGTGTAAATATTTATATATATCGTACTTTTTGCCAATGTAATTATCCTATTGTGATTACTTAGATGTAACTCAATCTTTTTTTATCGAAGATCGATTTGCCGATTTCATACGGAAATATCCATTTACAACAATAAACAATTTGCAAAACGAGTCATTGTCAATGCTTTGACAGCCGCATCCGCTTTTTTAAGGCCGATTGATTCACGTGGAGAAGAGAATGTCTAAATAAATTGATTTGCTTAAGGAAAATGTGATGCGTACAGTTACAGACATTTCAAACTGGACAACAATAAAAAATTTTGTTTAGCTAAATATTATACTTCTTTTATCATAACACTTGGTAAGCTTAGGTTGTTGGGCTATGTTAGGATAGGTTATCGCGGCTGCGCTCATCCAACGTTGCACACTGGCCGGAATTGGACTTTTTTTTTTGGCATAAATTCAAGATTTTTATAGCGATATATTCTTGATATCAGTTACTTTTATAAAAGTACATACATACATATATTAACCAAGAAAATTACCAAATAACAATTTGAAAGTTTCAACCCTGTGCTTTCAGTGCGCTTTTAAAGTCGTGTGTATGATTAGCTGTTATTTTGTCAGAATTGGTGCAAGGTTGCGTTAATATAAATAAACAAAATTAGATATAGAAAATAAAGGTCAAGGTCTGTCTAATAAGAATTAGTTAATTTGCATATTGTGTGTGTGTTTGTTTGTTGTTATTTAATGTGTTTGTAGTGTAGTATTTAAAGAAAAAAACTAAACAATATTTTTGTGTTCCGTGGAGTAGAACTAGCAAGCTGACAAGTGATGACGCGAACTAATAATAATAAAAAAAAAGCTTAATAATAATTAGATTTTATTTGAGTAATAACAGTTTGTGCTAATTTTTGCTGATTTTTCCTAAAATTAACATTTTAAGCGAAGTACACCTAGAAATCTATGTTAATTTTTATCCTCAAAGTTAGGGTTTTTTCAAGGACTTTCAAATTTGTAGATAATGCACCTACCCGCACCAAGAAGAGTACAATCCCTTTAAATATGAAAAACTCGATAAAAATTTTCACAGATTTTTCCAATTTTCAAAATTTCTTTCTTTCAGCACCAATACAAAATGAGTCCTACGAAATCAATCCCCACTATACTACTGCTCTGTTTACTTATCTTGATAGCACAAAACAATGCGAGTAATAACCAAGAAAAACGTCCACATATCATTTTCATTTTAGCAGACGATTTAGTAAGTACATACATTAAAAATTTAAATAGTATTTTGATTTCAAAATTTACTGGCGAAACTCATAATAGATTACATATTAACGCTGTAGGGCTTCAATGATGTCGGCTTCCATGGCTCAGCGCAGATTCCAACACCTAACATTGATGCCTTAGCGTTTTCCGGACTCATATTAAATAACTACTATGTAAATCCAATATGTACACCCTCCAGATCGGCGCTAATGACTGGAAAATATCCAATACACACGGGTGAGAAAAAAAGTGATGCAGTAAAAATTCTTTAAAATTAAAGATGTTTTTAGGCATACAAGTTTTTTTACCCAATTTTTCCAAATTTGTCCAAATATTTCAAGTGATTCCTCTTAGTGCTAGTAAAGCATCCGAACTAAGTACTAAACTTTACATTTCCATTCTCCCGTCAGGCATGCAACATACAGTTTTATATGGCGCAGAACCGCGTGGTCTGCCATTGACTGAAAAAATTTTGCCACAGTACCTGAACGAATTGGGGTAAGTAATAGCTATACATAACTGCCTTTTTTTGATTAGATAGCATACCGGTAAATGTATACAAAATTTTTAATTTTAATGAATTCTTCTAAGTTTCGTTTTAAAATTTCAGTTACTCATCTCATATCGCCGGTAAGTGGCATTTGGGTCATTACAAAAGTGTTTATACGCCACTACAGCGCGGCTTTAAGACGCATGTAGGCTTTTGGACAGGACATCATGATTACTTTGATCACACGGCTGTGGAGCATGGTATGTGGGGATTGGATATGCGAAAAGGTAATTGCAAAGCAGATACAAAATTTAGAGCTATTCGAATAGATCAAATAGGTTAGGGCTAGGTTTCAGTGATTATTACCACAGAAAAGGGACGCAGTTAGGAACTTAGGTATTTATCTTTAGTGATGCCACGTAGCTGTTTTGAGTGGTGACCATTGCTAAAAAGCTCCTCAGCGTTAGTTAAGAAATGCGAACTAAAGAAAAACGAAAAATTCTCGCAAGAAAAAGTGTTCGTATGTATATTTATTTCTTCAATAAAATTTATGTAATAGTAAAGCAAAATACTATTTCAAGCAACAGAAATAATGAAAAATATTTCTTGCGATTATTTTTTGAGAGCTGTAAATAGCGCTTTGGCCTCGTGAAGACTGTGCAGTATTTTGTGATTTGTTCTGCATACAGAATAAATACATCTAAGAAAAAAAAATTAAAATAAAAAATTTAGGACCCGCTACAAGGGCTTGAAAAATTATATTTTTTTTTAATCGCTAAAATTCAACAAAGTTTTAATAATATACAGACATCCACAAAAATAAAAAAATAAAAAAAAATAGGATCCGTTACAGGGTATGATTATTTTTGTTTAAATCACAAAAATTCAACAAAATTTGACTTCCAATAAGTTTCAATAATATGTCAACGTTATCATATTTCAAGTAAATTTGTTTTGATAAAAAAAATAAATTTTTTTCACACCCTGGTAGCGACGGCCAAAAATTTGTTTAAAATTTTGATATTTTCGTGCATGTCTTGCATGCAAAAAAGGGGTGCCCCATACAAAATTTAGAAGTTGACATTTCAAAGACCACCCTACTGCACAGCCCATTAGAAAGAGCTGAGCTGATTCCATCTCAGCACCGTGCTGCCTTGAAACGTGAATGCCATTTATATATTGATCTGTCAAAACCCCAACAAACAATGAGAACTGTGGTTTGGCAGCCCTCGATCTACCAAAGGTCAGTCTTGCGTTTACATATAACTTACTGCCATACCTAAACAAAAGCGTTGGGCGGAGCGGTTTCTGACGCCTAGCGTTAGCGCCGAAGTGGTATACCTAAACAAAAGCGTCAACGCTACGTCAAATGCAGAAATAACACCAACAATAAGCATAGGTTTGTTTGTGTGTAACACGAAAATGACAGTTTCGCCGTTTTCTGCAGCCAACTACAATACCTAACGCCCTGTCAAAATCGGATTTTCCAACCGCTCAACGTTGACGACGCGTTGTTTCGGTATATTTCATACAAATTGTATGGGCATGAGAATTTTTTGACAGCCGGACAACGCTGACGCTTTTATTTAGGTATGGCAGTTAGTCTTCGCCCAGCGCTCGCTGAGCTGACAGCAGGCCCATCTGTCCAACAGTGCACCACTGTGGTACAAAGGGGGCCCACCTCCTCCATATGCGGTGATAACGTTTCAGGGCCAACCATGCAGTTTTCCGCAATGTCGCTGTGGCCCCCAACCCAAAGTAGCCTAATAAGGAAATATTCCGACATAATTGAGAGGAAGACCAGACACTCCCTGATCAGTTTTAAGTGTATTACCATTGCCTTCAGGGCCCTGACAGCCGCTTGTCTAGCAGAATATTTACACGCTCACCTCCCTCTCACTGGGTCACATACTTCAGCAGTTGGTCCAATGCTTTTTTAATGTCAGCTTATTTTGCCTGAAAACTCTGCAGCAGTCCGGAAGCCTGAATTTAGTGTTGATGGACTCAATTAACACTCCTCTCGCACTGGTTCGACCCTGTCGAAACAGTAGGTT